GGTCTGAGGCTCTCCCACCTGCTGAATGGAAATCAGAGGAATTCCCACCTGTGTCACCCTCTCCTACCTGTGTTACCTGCGTTACCTTCCCCGTCTTTCTGCCCTGGCTCTCTGCTTTAACTTGCATCAAGGTCCTTTCCCACAGGACGTCGACCACTTAGCCCTGCTCAGGGGTGCTCTGTAGAGCACACTTGCTCATTTTCCTGGAACGCCATCAGATCTCAGCTGAGGAAGGACCCTTTATTGCTTTAGGAGACTTTATTAGGGGTTCCTAATTGAGAACTATAATAAACACCCTTTTGCCTTCTAAGAAAGACAATGGAAGAGTAACAGCCACAAATAATTTATGAAGCATTTTCTCCGCTGATACAGTACCTCAAGTGATGCTTGTGTGTGTGTGTGTGTGTGTGTGTGAGCACGTGTGTCCCTACCCCCAGGCTATGGGGTCGCAGGGACTCTAAGTGGCAGAGCGGAAACCAAAGCCCTGACTGCCCGCCTCGGCTGGACAACCTGCTTTAAGAAAGCAAAACACCTCTGACATTTTCATGTCCACACTTGGGACAGCTGTTCTGAGACCAGTTTCTTGGGAAACTTGCACACCTCAGCTGATGCTTCTGTTGTCTCCCACAGATGTGAGAATCTGGGGATAGAAACAATGGTCAGATTGGTGTTTGGACCCCAGGGGTGAAGGTGGGTACTCCAGAAGTTCTCAAACTTCATACATTCAAAAGCCCGTCCCACACATCAGGGCTAGGAAGACACTTGAGCAAATAAATAACTTCCTACTCCTCACCTTTCAAAAGGCTCTTCTGTAATTTCTTTTCACGGATAGCTTAACCATAAGAAAAATAACTGGGAGCCCTTCCTACCCGGAATCTACACAGGAACAGTGCAAGTGTCTGCACGGAGCTAGTGGCCAACACCAGTGAGGGGGCATCCCTAGTGGTGTGGCCACACCTGTCTGATCATTTCTTGTCAATCTGCTGCTAAGTTTGCTGTGCATCCGCCCCCCCACCCCATGGCATCTACTGGTTTGTGACCCACTGAGCTCAGGGTTATGGGTCATAGCACGTTAAAGCAATACAAAGGATGCCGCCGTAACTCCTAAGAATCACCAATGTGTCTTAAAGGTCCATTTACCTGAGCTGAAAGTTTGAAATGAGTTTCCAGGTGCAGATAACTAAGAATAACAGGGTTAGATGAGAATTCCTCTGATTTCCATTCAGCTGGGGGAAAAGACCAGGCATTTAGAAAGCTGACCGTGCCTGTTGTCCTTTGTACAGATGACACTACCTGTACCAGGGTTTACAGGTACCCTTGACAACAAAACGGATAAGCACAACACCAGGAAGGGTCAAGTCACAGGTGGGACCCGAAAGGCCACTCCTGGGGCAGCCTTCTGTCTCTAGGAATTCAAGAGCTCCTTCCCAGGGGAAGTTCTCTTTCATCTCACGTCTGTGTGGCCAAGTCTTAATGTTACTTAAAGTCCCACCTCCTCTGAGAAGCCTTCACTGGCCACTTAACCTTCCACGCATGGAGTGTGAACTAAACCCAGGGCTCTGGGTGTATAGCTTTAGGTTTCATAAGAGCTAATCATATTCTCCAGACAATTCCCAAGGACCCTGAAGCATCAATTATGACTTGGACTTTTCTGTATTTTTCCTGCTGCTTTTAGTAAAATGCCAAGCATACAGTGGGTCGTTCTGACGATGAAGCAGCAGCGGCAGAAATAGGGTGACTGTTCGGAAAACACTAATGCATGTGAAACTGGTCTACCGGGCTGGGCTCAGTAGTGTGTAGGCAGACAGCTCTGCTCTCCCCCCACCACCAAAGCTTCAAAGCTGCTCTTTCTCCATTTCCTCCCAGCCCCAGACTGGCAACTCCAACAGGCCCTACAGCCTTTCCAGTCTTTTTCAGGTACTAAGAAGCCCAGTGCACATAACCGAGGTCAGCGACCCAGAAGATGGGGCGGGGGGAGAGGGAGTTTCCAGTCTATTTCCCCAGCTTGCTCCCCACCCTGCTTCCTTCCCACCTTGCCAGAGTACATCTGGTTTCTCCAGGGATGGGGGAGTTAAGAGAAAAAGATGTTGAAATTCCCTTTACACATCAAGAGCTTTACTCTAAGCCACAATGTCCAGAAGACAGGAGACACAACCTAAGAAAGATTCCTGCCCTGCAGGTGGAAAAAAGTTCTTCTGGTACCGGGAGAGAGGAGCCTGGGAGCCCCCTGGCCCTTTGCACCGTGCCTGGAGGAGGAGAGGCGGTGCGGGAAGAAAAAACCCCAGGAGGTGGAGGGGGATGGAGAAGGCAGGGGGGAGTCTGTCCTTCCTCCTGCTGGTAGCACAGGGACTGCTCAATACAGCAGGTATGGGGGCCTGGGCTGTTCCACACAGACTGGGCAGGTTCCCAGGTGCCCAGCAGGGACCTGGTGGAGACCCAAGGGGGTGGGGACCTCAGGACCAGATGCAGGAGCCGGGTCCCCAGCTGTGGCTCACCCCAGTGACACCCGGCTGGACAATAGGCAGTGGAAACAGAAAAAGGAGGCTCAGTCGTGGGAAACCCATCAGAGGACAGCAAGGGGCCACTCTCCCCCATGCCCCGATGTAACTGCAACCTTCTCCTGGAGCCCAGAGACCACCTGCGGTGAGAAGGGGCCCCAGAGGGTGACGTGGGGAGACAGAGACTGACTCTGAGGGACTAAGCTGCTTTAAGCTAGATAGCGGCTGAGAGAAACTCACTAGAATTAGGCTCAGGAAAATCACGATCATGACCTAGGACTAGATATATCAAACGGGAACCAAAGTCCGTTCGGGGCAGCGAAATTAAGCTCACCTATAAAAATCTTTGCCCATCACAACTGGTGGCTGGTGACCTTCACCCTTCCACGATAAAGCTGGGCAAGAAACATCTCTACTCGGATTCAAATGCTTCCGCAGGGTCTCCATGCAACACAAACAGCGTTTATAAAAGTGTGTCTGGGGGCTTCCCTGGTGGTGCAGCGGTTGGGAGTCCGCCTGCCAATGCAGGGGACACGGGTTCGATCCCTGGCCCGGGAGGATCCCACATGCTGCAGAGCAACTGGGCCCATGTGCCACAGCTACTGAGCCTGTCTGTGCTCTGGAGCCCGCGGGCCACAACGATTGAAGCCCGTGTGCCAGAGTAGCCCCCGCTCGCTGCAACTAGAGAAAGCCCGCACACAGCAGCAAAGACCCAACACAGCCAAAAAAAAAATTAATTAAAAAAAAAAAAGCGTGTCTGTGCACAAGGCACATGGCTAACCTCCAGAGGAAGAGCAGGTGACTGCAAGCTTGCCAAGGCAATCCAGGCCCCCTGAGCCATCGCGGAAAACTCACCCCCCAGAGGCCCAGGCACCTTCACCCACAGTCTCTCACTTAACCCTGTGAGCTGGCGATCACCACTCCCATTCTGCTGAGTCAAACTGACACTCAGCAAGATTCGGTGACCAGCTCAAGATGACCAAGCTGAGTGACAATACGAACAGGACAGCCACCCTTTCGTGTGCCCCACGTGCCTGGTCCCACGCAGCGGCCACATGCTGTGCGTGAGCTGCACAACACCCGTGGAGGGGCCACTTTTTAAAATTTTAGCAACGAGGAAACGTGCTCAGAGAGGCTAAGAAACTTGACGCACAGGCAAGTCTAGACCGAGGGTGAGGCAAGCGAGGCCCGCGCTCCAGGCACAAAACGTAAGGCGGTACCAGGAACTCCAGAAGATAAATGTTATCATGAACTGTTTTAAAACATCAAAATTAACACAAAATCCGCACTGTACAAAACACCACAATTTTAAATAAAGACAGGATCCGTATTACTGATTTTTCCTTCTGCCTTAGGCTCCAATATGGCTCAGCACAGCACTGGGGCAGTGCCAAGAAACCAGCCCAGCTCAACCCTTCTCCACCGGCCCCCAAAGGCAGAGACCCCTGATGCTCCTGCACTGCCTCTAGATATGTTTCTCCTCACAATTTTATGACCTCAAAGGGCTGTAAGGAGTGATCAGGAGGCTCCATCATCGCAGGTGTGAGCTCCAGGGAGACCGGGGTCTAAACAGATTCTGTTCCATGGTCACGTGCACATGTTATGTAAATGAAGGAAGCGTGCAGGCTTGAATAACGGGGTGGGATATTTTAAGATATCAGTTGGGGAAGGTGTGGGGTGGGCTCGATCACACAGCTGCTTGTCTCCCACTGGATGGATTTCTGGCTCAAAATTAAGTTTTCAGCAGTGACACGATACCAGCTGCCGCCTGTACCTACGCAAGTCCAATCCAAACGGTGGCATTCCTTTTCACTTTGCATTTCAAAAGCCGAAGCTTAGTTGGTAACTACTACATTGGCGTAGCTACTTATGCTTTGATCACTTGTTCACCTCATATTAAAGCCCCGCCTGAGATGAAGTCTCTGTTCAACAAATATGTGTTGATTAAAAATTCGAACATTTCTTAGATCACACCCAGAACCTCGTACTAGCGGCTTGTAATCAAAGCCTAAAACCTGTATAACAAATCAACCATTACCTGGAGCAGGAGGAAAATAGTTTATGACTCTGTCCACTATTTTCTCCTGCCGTGGCCATTAGCGACGGGAGGCACAAATACTTCCGTCTACTAACAACTTCAACCCTGCAGACCGTCTTCCCTCTTTTCTATTTTCTGAACACGATCAACTGCGAGGCTTCCCCTCACGACGCAAAGTCGTCCGGCAAAGTGAGCAAAGGGAAACTTCGGGCGCTTGCGGGAGCGCGTCCGGCTAGACTCGGCCCTGGGCCAGCGCTGCCCCGAGAGGCGGCCGCGGGCAAGGCGCCCTGTCCGCGGTCCGAGGGGCACCTGGAGGCCCGCGCCCAGCCCTCGGCGCCCCGACCCCTGGCTGGCCGGCCAAGCCCGGCTCCCGGCCCGCGCCGTCCCCGCCCGGGTCCCCGCGCCGCGGTCCCCGGCCCACGCGCGCCCGCGGCCGCTCCACTCGGGTCCCCCCGCCCCGGTACCTGCACGGGAGCGCGGGCGGCTCCACGAAGCGCCGGAGGCTCGGTCGGCGAAGTGGGGGCGGCGGGACTGCGGCCGCCCCGGGAGCGCGGACGCCCGTTCCGCACGCGGCGCTGCAGGTGGCCGCCCGGCCTCGCCGCCGCCGGGTCGTGGCCCGGAGACCCGGACGCGGGCGGGGGCACGACCCTCCGGAGCCGGCGCTCGCCCGGCCTCGTGCGCGCTCCCCGCCCCGGGCGCGCCGGCTCGGCTCGGCTGCTCTCGGCGCGGCGGGGGCGGACGCCGCTCAGCTCGCTCGCTCGCCCGCCAGTCGCGCGCACCTCCCCCGCGGCGCGCCACTCCCGCCGCCGGGCCGAGTCTGGCCGCGAGCTCGCGGGGAGGGGCGGGGGAGGTGGGCCCCGCAGGCCGGGAGGGCGCCGGGTGCGGGCCTGGCTGCCCGCGGGAACCCCTCAGCAGCCTGCGGCGACCCCGCCTGGGCCGGCCCGTGCGGCGGCGCTGTCGGGGCTCCAGGCCTGGCTGCCCCCACTGAGCGGGGCCGGGGTCCGCCAGAGACCCAGACGACCCAGAAGACGAGGCGCCCTGGCCCCGCGCCTCTGCGCGCCCCATCCGAGAGGGATGCGGCCCCGACTCCAGCCTCGACCTCGGGGGTCACCTGGGGGTCAGCGGCCCGATGGCCGGGTCCAGAGGGAGGGCGCCGTGGATGGGAATTGTACGTTTGAATAAAAGTAAAAGTTGTTTTTTTTTTTATAACCGTCTGGGTCCGGAGCGTCTCCGGGCTAATTAGGGAAGCTGCCGCCCTGTCTTGGGTTGAATCATGGTTGTGACACTGCAAGTGGTGGAAGAAAGAAAGGCTGCTGACAGCTTCCCAGCCTCACTGGCTCCCCTTTGCTTCTTTTAGAGACGGGCTGGTCCAGGTAAGGAGAGCGTCTTAGGAAACGTGGCCTTGGGTGGTCGCTCAGCGAGTCAACTAGAGAGCCGGCCTTTAAGCCTGGGCCTGCGGAGCGCACAGCCCGGGACACCTCCACTCCAACCATGTGCCCCCAGAGCAGGGAGCTTTCCCGGCAGGGAGGGAAGATGCACGTGAACTGTGACCCGCAGGAGACCGAGACCACGACAGCTGACCCTTGAGAAACTTCCATGCCAGCTGGAAGAGCTCATGCTAGCTGGCAGAGCTCATGCTAGCATCACGGAGTAACACTCGAGTGATAGCCGACATCTGAATCATCAGCTATCTCAGCGCCGTTATATGGGGACACGCCCGGAATCCGCGCCACATCTTGGGGTGGTGGGTTTGGGGATTTTCCCTGCGTACGCTGAGGACTGGAGAAGCCTGCGTTTGTACCACTATCTGCAGCAGAGCCAGGGTGGAAGCCTGGAAGGGGCTCTCCCCACCCCTGGCTTTAAAGGGGATCAAAATCCCAAACACAAGAATCAAAGGCAGGGAAAAGAGGCTAAGGACAGATCTCATTTACTTGAGCACATAAAGAGAGGTTTACTCAAAAAAAATTCTTTTCGTATAATCCCTTTGGTACAAGCCATTCTCTTAAAATCCCCCTTTGCCCTTAAATGCTTGAAATTCCCTGTGTGAAAGGAACGAAAATATATTGTGGATCAGTCTACTGCCCCCCAAGTCAACAACCTGCCCTCACGATGGACAGGTGACTCGTGACAGCCAGAGACAATGACTTTGTTAGGGGTGTGTGTTTGCTTTTTTCAGAACCGTCAGACTAAACTGAACAACTACAAACAAATCTACACTCCTTTCTCTCCTCTCCCACCTTGAGCCTCTGTTTCTTGCTCCTCAAAATCACATTTATTTTTTGTTATAACTAAATATTTATTGACTTCATAAATTCCCTTTCTAACTAAGGATTTCATTTGTTTCCAGAGTATCTTAAACCTCTGGCTTTATTTGTGTGTGCTGTGGGGGGCTTTTGAAGTTCCTGGAGGTTTTGAGGGGACAAAACCCAAAGTTCTTGGTGATTAGTTAAGGCTGGGAAAGAACACGGTGTCAACACCCACAATAGAAAGTGGTGAGGAGCTTTGTGAATAGGTTAGGAAAATGGGAAGTTACCGGCTTCTGGTAGAGCAAGCACCTTCATGCTTTAAAAGTGTTGAAAGGAAGAATGTCCCTTCCCCACACCCAGTCCCCAGGGCTCCTCCACACAGCCTTCGAGGGAGCTCTTCACCTCCATAATGCCTCTTGGACCAAACCTTGAAGCCAGGATGAGAAATGGCTAAAGTGAAGTTTTGCCAAAGGTTCCAAGGAAATAGTCTCCACGTGGAGTTTCTGGAAGCCTGCACAGACAACCATAAAGCTACGAGCATAGGATTGCATTTTGGTTTTGTTTGTTTGTTTTTTCTGGAACTCCAGAAAATCTCTCTCATCTATCCCTGAACACCTCCTCCCGGGGAAGGAGAACCTCACCGCCAAGGCAAAAGGAAAAGTCTGTGCTACCTCTAAATATATGGCACCTGATCAGGGAACACATTTTTATCAAACTGCAGGTGCTGTTCTAAACCATTTACAATTCGTTGCTCATTTAAACCATTCCGTCCCCAGGAGAGCCCTGAGCTAAGACCTACTATTATCCCATTTTACAGATAAGGCACTGCCATCGTCTCCCTGTTGTGAAGGAATGAGGTGCCCAAGGTCAGGCAGGAAGGAAGTGGCAGAGCCAGGGATTGAACCCACAGTCTGCACTCTCGGCACTGAACAGGCTGCCTTTCTACAAGTGGCATCTAACGCTGCAAACTGAAAACACCTTTTAGCTTAAAAAGGGAAGGAGAATCACCCTCGCCCACACTCAGGAAGAGGCAGCTTCTGGGATCTCAGAAAACAAGAGTATTTAAGTCTAGTCTCCTCTTTCCTGAATCATCATTTAGTCAGACCAGAGGGCTGTCATTGATGGGTTGAAGAGAGGTTCGCCAAAGGTACCAGGCTCACTAGCCCAGGCTGGTACCCAGGAGACCCTTCTGCAGGACAGGGCTTCATCCCAGCCTTCTGCTCTTGGGTCTTCATAAGACTCTCAGCCTGCCTGTCTTCCGTTGGGTTCCAAAAATACAGACCCCATCAGGCACAGGTATCCCTACCTGGGCAGAGGATTTCATCCAAGGACCAGCCAGGAACCAACTAGGAGAAAAAAGATGTCAACCTTCTCATGACAGCAGGCCCGTTGCCCAGGTGAGCCTTGGTGACAGAGGTGGAACTGAGCTGCCTCACTGTCAGAGGTCCTCCTTCCTTGTCTTTTGTTTACATGGCATCGTCTGCCACCACACACCCAGGCAGGTACATTTTTGTCCACACAATCAAGCAGCTTGTGCATTTTTGCTCTAAGTAGTGATTACCTATTTTCAAGACCATCACAAGGGTCACGAGGCTCTGCATTGAGGTCACACCTTTATTTCAGTGGTTCTGAATGTTTTCTCATAAATCTTTACGATCTTAATTTTTTTGTAAAATAGATGTCTGATTGAAAGGCTGGACTTACGTTCAGAACAAGTTCAGGGCACTCTGTTTTCCTTGATGGAATGTTTTTTCCTAAGTTAGAAACTATTTATCCTTTTGGGCCAGTTTATTGATCTGTAGGAAGGTATTTCAGGTTTAGTGAGGTAGGGATATTCAGTAATTCTGGCTTAGTGTTGGCTGGGGCTGGGAGGTCACAGTTCTGCTAGAAGTTTATCATGGTTGATAAATTTCATACAATCTTAGGGTTTCAGGGTGGGTTAAATCTTGGCAGTGGTTTTTGATGACAAGATTTGGTTTGGTTTGTTTTCTGAGGTATAACAGACCTAAAGGACACATATCTCTGTGTTCAGCTTGAATTTTCGGTTACATATCATTTCTCTCATGCAACCATCATCCACATCAAGATCTAGAACATTCTTAGCATCCCAGGAAGCTTTCTTGTGCCTTTTTGTAGTCAGTGCACATACCCAAGCTAACCACTATTCCACACTGTTACCATAGATTAGTGATCTGTGTTGTTAAGGCTCATGAACAGGCATATGTAGACTGATACAGTATGTCTTCTTTTGTATCTGACTTCTGTTATTCAACACAGTGTCTGTGAGATTTATCCATGTTCTGTGTATCAGGTCATTCCTTTTGTATTGCTGTGTAGTATTCCACTGCATAGATATACCATAACTTACCCCTTCTACTCTTCTTAGGCATTTGGATTCTTTCCAAGTTTGGGATATTATAATATATCTGCTATGAACATTCTCATATATGTTTTTTGGTGGGCATAAGTACTCAGTTTTATCCAAGAGTGGAATCCTGGGTCATAGGACATATATAGTAAGTTTAACTTTAGTACTTACTACCAAATACCATCTCTCTACTGCATTGTTTTCCTTTGAAAGTATGATACAAAATTCTTTGACAAATATCTGTGTCCATAGTTTGTCTGCATTCGTAATTATATCTTTAGGAGAGATCCAGAGAGGAGTTCCTGGGTCAATGGCTGTGAATGAGTCAGAGGCTCTATTAATCACAGGGTATGAAGGCTTCTTAGGTTGTAAGGCCTTAATGACACAATTGGATAATACTTTCATTCCTCTCTGGGCAGCTTCTTCTCCCATTCCCCACAGCAACTAGCCCTTACTGCTCTCATGCACCACGTGTTCTCAGCCCCCATCACACTCTTCCAAACAGATGGTCTGCTTCCTTTTTTTTCATAGAAAATCAAAGTTACTGGGCATGGAAATAAGTCTGCTAAGCAGCTGACCTTAAAATAGGGAGATTTTCCTGGATTATCTGGGCGGGTCTAGTGTAATCACAAGGGTGCTTAAAAGGGAAGAGGGAAGCAGCTGAAGACCAGAGACATGGCGGCATGAGATAGACTCAGCTCAGTAGTGCTGAATTTGAAGGTGGAGGGAGGGGCCACAAGCCACGGAAAGTGGGCAGATTCTAGAAGCTCGAAAAGGCAAGGAAATGGATTCTCCCCTCAAGGATCCAGAAGGGACATAATCCTTCGAACACCTTGATTTTTAGCTTAATGAGACATATAGCAGACTTCTGCCCTCCAGACCTGTGAGATCATTAAACTGTGTTGTTTAAAGCACTAAGTTTGTGGTAATCTGTTACTGCAACAATAGGAAATGAATATGGAATTTATTTTAGAATTCCCTTGACTTATAGCTGGAAAGTCTATTTCTCCATGCCCACTCCCTGGCACAG